TATATATGTTTAAAAATTATAAGTGTTGAAGTTTTGACAAATGCATTATTAGACATATTTAGTAACAACAACATTGTGTTAACTTTGAATTCAGCACTTTAATTTATAGCAGAACACTAAAGATGCACAGTTGATTTTTTCGGTTGGTCGCCAGAAGGCAACTGAATATAACCAGTTCTATAACTTTATTCGCTGTCAACCTATTGAGTTGGCTGCCCCTATTTTTTTGTTAATAGTCATTATAGTCCTATAATGAAAAATGCCATTTTCCATTATAGGACTACACGGTTAGCACGGATCCTTATAATGCCTACCTTGCTGTCCCAAGAACGTTACTTATACGGAAAGTTAGCGTACACATCAAGTTACGCTGTGATGCAAATTTTGAAATCATTTAATTTTTTCCACGGAAAATAATTTAACTTGAATGTTCAAATTAAGTCAAATTTTGATTTCATAGTGCGCCAATAAAAACACTTGTAGAATTTAAACCACTCAAAATAATTTGATAAAAATTTTACCCTGATTGGATGACTGATGTAGGATTTATTGCAGTTATAGTTGAAGTTTTGTCAGTTTTTTGCTACTTATACCTCAAAATGTTACCAATTACTTTGAATTTCTGTCACTATTTTTAAAATATCGGTTACATGAGTGTTCTACTATGTAATACCAACAATATATAATTATTCTATTGGTACATGTACAGTTTTCATTTTATAGACCAAAATAGTGATTTTCTACTTAAAGTGTAATTTAAACAGCCTTATGCTAATAGTGTCGACACGGCCTTCAATGTGGAGGGGGTCAACCCCTCAATTTCTAAAATAAAATCCATAATTTCTAAATTAATTGCCTATATTTCTTAAACAAAAGGTCCTCGCAAAAAAAAAAGGGCAGGTCATAGCTCCCTTGATGGCTATGTATGCATAGCGTTAATATACCAACATTTCCTAAAATATAAACTACTGCCAGAATGCAAAAAATTTTAAAAAAATAGTTAAGAAAGATTTCTAGGGATACCTAGATAGAAAATAAAAATATTTATTTATCTGAAAAAAGAACAACTATGAAAAAAACAAATATTTTTTATATTGACAAAGATAATTGCCTTAAAAAATTAAGATAAGTAAACTAAAATATCTGACCAATACAAAGTTTGGAGGGCCAGTTTTTGTCTTCAAACTTGTATATAAAGTGTTAGACTGCACATTAAGCAGCAAGCAAATACAATAAACACTAATTGTAGAATAAGAGATACCAAAAACATTCCCACTAAGTCATAATATAATATTTTGTTTGGTAATGTATTAATAAGAACTTTATAATATCATTGACAAAAATAGGTACCAGTTAGATAAACAAAGACAAGATTTGCTTCTTCAAAACTTTAAAGAAAAGTGCAATTTTGGCTAAGATTTTAAAAAGAACTTGTTGTTTCAGGAAATATTTTGTAAATTAACTAAGCTGTAATGACTTCTTCTAAAATAATTGAAATATTTATACTTGATTTTAAATTCAAGTTATAGCAGGGAAGCATTTAATTGAAGCAAGCTTTACTCCAGTCTGAATTAAATAATTTTAAAACCTAATAGGTTAAAGAAGAATTTTTTTTTTTTTTATTCTTTCTTAAATTGTTTATCAGTAATCTTTTTCTTGTGTTTGGCGTTGAGAAGACCAGTTACCTTGCGATATACATAGTTTCTTGCAAAACAAACATAATATACTTTCTTCGCTTTGGTTAAGATAAATTAAATTAGGTAACCTAACATTTGAAGTAAATTTGAGGTCTGCTTCCAACAAACAGCAACTCAATAGCAGCTTATACAGCAATAAATTAATTCAAAATATTAAAGTATGTGCCATAAGATATCAGTTAAAAAAATATTTGATGCACTCTCAGTCCAGTCACCCCGTAAAAGTTAAGTTATTTTACGAAATTGACAACGGCCCGCGCTTCCGGGCTAGTTAAATACTATGAATATGGTTAAACTTTATGGACCACATTACTATGGCCACCCCGAAATGAAATTATTTTTAATTGCGTCCGAAATGAAATCTTAGGTGAACGGTTACGATTTTCATTCCGCTATGACTTTAACTTTAGCTTCGCCCGAAATGAAATTCCATGTAAACGTGCTCTTACTTTATATAAATTACGTTTAATTTACTTTACAAGTTATATAAAAATGTAAGCATATGTAATTGAATTTTTTAAAGATTTGCTATTATTTTAAAAATAAAAAATTTCTACTTAAAAAACATTGTTTCATTTGTAAATTTAATTTATATTTGGTAGCATATTTGTATTATGTATTTTACTTTATATGCAAGTTTTTTTTTAATATAATTTTTTCTAATTAGTTACTTTTATAGGTAAATGTAAATTGAAGTTTGAGGAATTTTTATATATATGTAATGTAATTTTCAAAAGTAATAAATTTTAAATGTAAAAGTAAACAGCTTTTTTATGTGACTTACTTTTACATGTAAAAGTAATTTACTTTTTAATGTAATCTTCTTTTACAAAACTTACTTTTGAAAGTAAAAAAAACTTACATTATAAAGTAAAATTTGTTTCAAAAAAATTAATTACTTATTCGGAAATGTAAATTTACATTATGCGCTTAAAATTACGTGGTTTACTTTTTGAAAAAATTTACTTATTTGTGTAAGTAAACAAAAAAGTAAGTAAAAGAGCCATCTCTTACCAGCACCCTCAATGGCTCCTGAGAAATATGATTAAAACTACTTTTGCGCTTTGCTTTTCATGAAAATCTGCTGAACCTTTATCATTTGCCCAAACTTGAAAACCTCTATAGCATTTACTCAGTATACTCTAAACATTCCCCTCCACATATGGTTGTAACAACGCCATTTAATGAAGAGTGGCCTCCTGTTTGTCAAGAACCATAGATAGCAACTTGGACAAGTGCTTCTCCAGTCTCACTCATTTATTCTTTTGAAGCAGCTTTGTATGTTTTTGTTAACGTTTTTGCTTATATTGTTAAAAGCATTTACAGTTAAACATGACATGTTCACAAGTCGTGAAAAATTAACTATTGGTTGGTGTCCTTTTTCAATTTTACGGAATCTAATTACCATTTTCAAGTTAACATCAAACATGTTTCTAACTTTTTATCATTTTTAACCATTTTTGAACTGAAATTACTCTATGTTAAAGAGCATTTAGCATTTGTATATCGCGACGTTATAATTATCTTGTTCTATCTCCGCTTTCTGAAAAAATTGAGTTAATGATAGTGTTGTGTTCCTCAAAATAATGTCTTTCTACTGAATTGATATCTAAGTTATAAGTAAAAAAGTTGCGGAAAAAACATTAGTTATAAAAAAAATTTATACGCCGTCTCCTAAAGTTTTCGTTTTTTAAACCGTTTTATCTTAAAACTAAAAAATGTGGAAATAGAACAAAATAACTCTAACGTCGCGATATGTTAAAATAAATTTATAGGAGAAAACCCATTCTGATAAAGAAACCCATTCTGATAAAATAATCATCTTTGATATTAACTTTACTTTTACACTCAGGACTTGCACTAATCAAATCAAATAACTGTTTGATAAAAATAAAGTTAACAAGAACAAAATAATCATTTGTCTTGACATTATTGGCGCTATTCAACTTTCTCACACTTTTCCACCCCCTCCCCTTCTCCTGCTCCATCCTGCTTTTATGATTGATAATGATAGACATTATACTAATTCAGAATCATTTAAAAACATAAGGCTGAAAACTTGATGAAAGTACTCTAACCCCCCTCTTCTTGAATAAATGTTGCATTATTTTAATAGGTAGATATAAAATATTTTTCAAAATTATTGTTATGTATGTTTAATGAGAAAAAGAATTATAAAAAAATTATAAGTATATTTATTATTAAATTAACGTCAATTATTCACTAGTGATTTATAAAATTGCATTTTAAAATCATAAAGATATAACATTTTCAAAATGTTCAATTGCAGTTTATTATGTTTAAATATAATAGTAATTGAAACTTTTTTATATTACTATTATCACGTAACTATTACCTCGCAGCTGTTCCGCATTCTAAATGAAATAGTTGAAAAAAATAAACCTTAAAATGATTTTAACAATTGAATACAAGTTTAAATATTTATAACGAACTTAAGTATTCATAGTAATTGAATTTTATTTGAACCACTTAAAACAAATAAAACATGAAACATTGCTGAAATTAAAAAATTTGCAAAAACTATTTTCCCACGGTAAATAAAAATGTTCTTTTATGGAATAAAATGGTAGGGTGTTGATACCAGTATCCTGGGGAAAAATATTTATCTGACAAGTCATATGAAATTGACCGATACGGATTTGAAAAGTGGGGAAGAATTTTGTCAACTTTTACATTTTGTGCTGCAAACAGAGTTGGAAATTGATGGCATGCTGAGCCCTTTGTTCTCTCTGGAAATTTAAGACCTTTGCTTGTTTGAGAACTTGAAGAAATCTGTCTACTATTACGCTAAAATGGGAGTTTCTTAGTTTCAAACAACACTTATTTTCATTTCGTTTTACAATCTGCATAAGAGATTGGCTCGTTGGTATGTGACATTTCTGATCCCTTGACAAGAGGAGTTGTTCTTGTAACTCAGACTCTGTGTGCTCAATGTACTCTACCTCTAATGGAAAATTCTCTACAATCAAACCTGATCAAATTTCAGAGTGGTCCCTGCATTATCATGAACTGTAACACCTCTCTTGTTCAGATGGCTACCATGCCATATATAAGAAAATATTTTATAATATAAAATATTTTATAGTTTTTAATATTAGAAAATATTTTAATAAACAAAATATTTTTTGTGACGTCGCATTTCTTAAACCCCCTCCCTCTCCTTTTTAAAGTCTGGACCCCCTCCCCCCCTCCCCTAGATACGTGACATCGTTTATAAACAGCCCCAAAGACCCAATTATACAAAGTGCTTGAATATCGAATTCCTATAAATGAAACAAATTCAAAATCTTTTATCTCTAAAAATTTTAAACCTACCCTAACGAAGGTACCAAACTTAAAATGGCTGCTGGATTCTTTTTCTCGCGTGCTTATGGCCGATGTTCAAGTAGAAGTTCTTCGTTTATTAAACAATCTCGGCTGTTAAATGCATGTAAATCTAGTGGAAATAAAACACTTTCTAGAAAAGTATGCTTAAAATATATTGTTTATAATTCAGTATATGATGTAGTTGCCACTTTAAATAGAAAGCGTTAGTTTCGTAATAGTTTTAAATTTTTTTCTAAACTTTTTAATTTAACCGACTTACCATGAAAAGTTTTAAAAATTTTCTCTATCATTCTAAGACAATTTATAATATCTAGAATTCACACAAATTTTTTTGCAAGTGCAACTGCAACTAATTTAGATATCTGTTGCAGAAGATTCTCAGAAAAATTTATAATGAAAAACCTGTGATATTCCAAATAACAAGATGCCACAGATCTTCCATTACATAATTACTATATTTTATATTATTATTAGCTAGTTTACTATTTAAAATCACTAAAAGTTGCTATTCAATTAAGATAACTATTTATATTTTTTTCTTTCACATCCTTTTTCTTTTATATGATTCACAGCTTGATTCCTGAATTTTTTTGCTTTTAAATAATTTAAATATATCTGGTAATTTGTTAACTAACCTGATACTAATGCAAAGTACATACAAATGTGTTCTTGCTGTTTTTATAAGTAATCTTTAAAAGACTGATTATTTGTTGTTGAAAAGTATCATGTATTAATGTCATTTTTTTGTATATAATAGTATTGTGTAATAATAAATTTTTTTAGTGATACTTAAATTTTTTTAGTGATACTATATATATACTTTTCTTTAGATCTTGTAACTACCATTCTTATTCGTTTGAAATCATCTTTACCAAACTACGCATTAAATACATCCAAGCCATCACTTAATGATATAATCTTTTCTTTATTATTCTTTCCTTTAATGCAGACCGATGTGTGGTTTTTTCCATAATTCCAGAAATCTTTTCAAAACAATCATCTCTCCTAGACATAACTGTAATCGTTACCTTAAAAATCTAAATTCTAATTCCTTCTAGATAACCCCTGTTACACCCCTAAAAATAAATAATTATATGTCCAAAAAGAACCATGAATAAATAGCATTGTAAACAAATATCATTCCTACACAGATATTTATCTTAGCATCAAAATAATTAAGTTATCTTTTGAGCATTTTAATAAACAAATCATTCAAATCTGGAGTGTTTCCTGACTTATTTAAAGCTGCTGGAGTTGTGCCTAGTCTCTGTATTAATTTGGCTTCTGCAAAAAACGCTGCACAAATGAAGCACTCATTGATAAACTGAGACAATATGTTAAGCTGTTGATCAAGGATAGTTTGCTGCTGGAGTGATTGTTAATTTGCAGAAGGTCCTCTACTCTTCCTTGTTTAAATAAACAATCTAAGCACATGCGTTTATTAAATTTTCTAAAACATATTGTTTTACTGATGATACCAATCTTATCATTGTCAGTAAATCTTCTAAAAAAACTCAATAAAAATCTTAATCATGACCTTGCATATTTGGTTCAATGGTTACTGTAATGTAGTCAGTTAAATAGTCTATAATTAATTCTAAGCCAACATAGAAGGCTTTATTCTTCATATAATATTGTGTAAACTAAAATATACAAACAGGTTAGTTCTAATATACACATAATTAAACTCAACAAGGATAATAATAATTATAAGAATTAGCACAGTTACAGTCAAAAAAAACTTCCTTAAATACCAAGAAGTCTGAAATAGTTATCCTTAAATCTCAAGACAACAAAATTATAAAAAAAACACAATCTTAGAATAAGAGGTATAAAAATTAATACTGTAGATAATTTAAAGATCAAATATTTGATACTCAACGATAAGATCAAATATTTGAGCATTATATAAGATAAAAACCTCTTGTTTCACTAACAAGTAAAAGCAATAACCATAAAGGTAAGTCAGGCAAATGGAATGCTTTCCAAAATAAGTCATTTTGTCAACTATGAAACATTGATCAATATTTAGTTTGCCATATTTAATTCTAAGTAGTATCTAGAACCAGATGTTACTCCATCCAATTCTGCAAACAAATGATTTAATGTAAGCTCATTTCCATGTAACAAACAAATTACCAATTGTAGAAGTTGTTAAAGTTCTAACTAAATCAATCTAATCATGCAACCCATTTTTTTTCATCATGTGAAATAATGCCAATATTTTCAGGTACAGTTGATGCCAAAGCTGCAGCAGATCTGTCTGAGAGCCTATGGCGGTTGCCGATTAATAAATAAAAAGGAAAAGACAAGCATTTGTTTTAAAGATGGTAATGATGATAGGGTGTTTTCATCAATAGCAGACCATTTTATAATACTGAGTGTGGCCAGTACTTTAAATCGGTCATACCAGTAATAATAGAATCTAGTGGCTCTTCATTATTAAGCTCTGTTTTGGGTATTCTGTAGTTTTGCTGTAACTTTTTTGTCAATTGATGCAATACCTGTTTTAATTTCGATTCTTAGATCTTCCAGATTTAATACCAAAGTATTAAACTCTACATAGAAACATAACATGTCAGCACAAACCATTTTTGATAAAATAATATTTTTAGTAAATAAATTTTATATTATAGTAACTTTATTAATCAATTATAAATAATATTACTAGTTAAAAACTAAATATAAACATTAACATTTAAAAATATGGTTTGTATTAAAACTTTGAGTAGAGCATGTATTTTACTAAATTTTATACCTAATATTCAATTTTATCGATTGAAATATATATTTTTTCAAATATGTTTCAAAAAATTTCAATAATTTTTTTAATACAAAAGTTATTATTTTGTTCATAATACTAATGGATAATGCAACCATACCTGATATATTCTCACTTTGTAGTTTCTATTTAAAACATTTTTCTAAAATGTTAAATTTGCGATACTAATTTTAAGTAGTATTAGACAAAAATTGCTGCAAGAGGTAATTCTAGTTAAATGTTGCTTATTGCGGTCTTGTTTTTATTAGTTTTTTTAAACTAATATAAAAATTAAAGAGAAAAGTTGTATTTCTGAAAAATGTTCTTTTCACTCCACCCTATTGTATATGTATATGTGCCTTTCTTTGTGTGTGGGTGTGTGTTCAAGAGTGACTGAATGTATAATTCAGGTATAACTTCTTGTTTATAGCACTCCTCTATGCTCTTGTTGTTATTATGTAGGTATTATTATCTTTATAATTAAAATTTTTATTATTGTTATTGTGGTAAACTATTAAAGTTATCATTATAATTATAATTGTTATTATTAGTATTCTTGTTATTAATATTACTTATTATTAATTCTATTATTACTAATAATTTACAATAATTGCTTTATACTATTGTAGGTAATAACGTCTTGTCAGTTTATAACTGTTTGTATTTGTTTCTCGCTATTGTGTGTGTGTGTGTGTGTATATATATATATATATATATATATATATATATATATATATATATATATATATATATATATATATATATATATATATATTGGAAAATATATTGGTTGATTGATCTGTAAAGAGGTTGATGTTTTCATATCACTTATAGTACTATTGTACTATTTATGTATCTTATCATGATCAGTACTAATTCCTGGGGATACCTATTTCACAAAGTAGTTCAAATTATAACTAGTAATTAATTTTTAGTTTTTGAGCCCTTCCTATACTTAAAATCCATTAGAGTATTATGCCTACTACTTTTCAGCACTAATTTTTATTTCTTTATTGATTTTTAGAATGCTCTCTTTAAGTCTAATATAACTGTTATTAAGGGCATTTCATCATCAAGAGCTGACCTCTATTTTGAAACAAGTAGTTGACCTGCTATTAAAGTTAAATGAAAATTTATCTGAAGCTAAATTATTTTTATTATATAGTCTTTTACTCATATAGTTGACTCATCACTTACACAGCTGTTACTGTAATTTTTTTGCTTATGGTATGTCATTGGATTAAAAGAAAATTTTTTTTAATCCAATTCATTCCCAACAATTTATTTAATCCAATACACTGCTACCAATCACTATTAAGCTGGGAGTTACTAAAAAACAAAGAATATAGTTTAAGAGCAAGGAAACAGTTGGCGGAAAACTTGAAAGGATAAAGGTTGTGTTAGTCAGTAAAACATGAAAATAGAAGAGAATTTTAAAGATATAAAGTGCGGAAAAATAAACTTGACAAATAAAAGTTTTTAGAACAACAAGGGGCAATACAGTAAAGAGATGCCCCTTTGCTTAAAAAAATTCAAGTGAGAATTAAGTTTTTATAGATAGAACTAGAGATGATAGCTCCTTTGGACAGGAATTGTGGTAGTATTTCAGGCTTTCACAGGAAGACGTGCAATTTCACATCTTTATATGACCACGCAAAAAAAATGTTTTAACAATTTGACCACACAAACTAAAACAAAACTCATCAAACTAAAACGCTTAGTCTATTTAATTTACGCATTAAAAAACCTTTTCAATCTTTGTTTCAACATTTTTATATATTTTTTATTTATTTAATATGTTCAAAAGTTAAATATTTCTCATAAAAAAATACATAGTTATATAAATAAAAATATATTTTATAAATACTTTTTTTTAAATTAATTAGAAGTGTTTTTTTTTTTACTTCATTAAAAGCGTTTCGATAATATAAAAGCATTTTTTAAAAGATCAAACTTATAAAATTTTAACGGTTTTCTAAAACTTTTTTTTTAACAAAATTTGGTTTATCTTTTTAAATGCATTAACTTTAATCATTCTTATATTTAAATTCGTTAAAGAGACTTTCATAGTCGTAGATTGTCATTGTTTATAAAAACAAAACAATTTTTTATTTTTTAATAATATTTATTTTAGAAATGAAGACTTAAACAATTTATACATTTTAAATTAAAAAAATATATACAGCTGTCAATTATATTTAAAAAACAAAACTTTTTTTCAGTAAATTGTTACTTTATGTAAAATCGTTTCGCTAATATAAAAACATTTGTTAAGAAGTTTTAATGTAATTTTACTTTTTTAGAATATTTTTTATTTACCACATTTCTAAAATGTTTTTTAAATTAGCCGCGGTCAAACCGTCATAGCAAAATGTAA